TATTTTAGCTTTGTTCCTTTAAGGTCTCAGTAGTTTGAAAAATTCATGCATAAAGCATGCTTCAAGCGGCATTTACATTTTTGTAGTGTGTGCTGCAACAGTATAGATTTTACTTTCTAGATGTACACTTTCAGGTCAACAGGGCTGTCTAAAGACTAAAACTTACAGAGATCTCCGGGGTTTGATAGGCATACATTTTCATTATTCCCCAGCACCTTGGGCACCTCCAAACATACTTGCCCTCCTTTAGTCAGAAAATTATAATGCTTTCTTAATGCACATGCCCATCTATGCCCGTACCAGCCAAATAGCTCCTGTACTGATTTCTATATTAAAGACAGGTAGGATTTAACTATTTATGACACGGAAGTCTTAATTGTACTACAGAATAATTCAGAATGGATTAAGTTTATCAAGTAGGTTTATTTCATTCCTGCAGTTAGGAGGTCACATTACAAAATGAAAGCTACATCTATTTCAGAATTATCTGGACCTACACAGGTGAATTTTAGATTAGAATTTGATTATATTATCTTACGTTTTCCAAACATCTCTCAGAGCAAAATGCAAGTGGTCTATCGGAGTTAATCTGCCCTGGGGGAAATACCATATAACCTTCCTTCCAAAAAACAACAAAACCAAACAACAAAACCCTACAAGCCCTAGTTGGCTCCAAATTCCTTTCAACTTTCCTCAAAGCATAGTGTTGTCCAGGTTACCCTGGAAATCAGCTGTGGCTTTTTCTCAGGACTGATTTGAAAGTGTACACAGGATAGAAATGTATTCTGCAGACAATTACAAGTTTATGGAAAACTCTGCAAGTAATGTGGAGAGACAGAAAAAAGACGAAAAAGATGAAGCAATAATTTACTACTAATTACAAGAAATAACCAGCCATTATAGTGATATGTTTGCCAATACTCTACAAAGAAGCAAGTACTCTATTGTCTGACAACAAATTGTACCTAAATAACAAATGCAAGAAGTTTTGAGGTAATAAAGAAGGCATGAAGAATGAACAGATCATATTGCAAGTATAGAATAATTTTTAGAGAAAGTGTCAAATATTTTTGTGCTTATCCCACATAATCAAGGATCTCTCTATTGACAAAATGTTTTACCCTGTCTTTGAAAAAGGAAAACAAAAACATATTTTAAGAACTTTTTTTTCCCCTACAGAAAAACTTACACATACTCATTTAACGGTTGTTAAAATAATGCACATTTTCTCCTGTTTGTTAGCTGAAGCATCAAATGACTAACACAACCATCCATTCTGATGAGTCACTGCACAATGTGTGAGCTGGCACATGAGAAAACTTTCCCAGATCTAAAATTACAATTTGCATTCTCAGGGGCAAGTGTTTTGCAGCTAATTAGTAATGTGGGTACTGAAAAAACCCCACACCAAACTCCTTATAGCTCACGCAAACTCTATTCACTCACACCTTTGAAACACTTTCCAATCAGCCAAAAGTATCTGGCACACATTTGCAGCCTGTATGCACAAAAAAGGATTCAAAACAATCTCTGACTGAAATCCCACAGCTAAGTAACTGAGTTCATTTGTTGCAAGCTCTCTGAAAAAGGGGCAATGACTAATAGCAAAGCTGTGCTGGTGTGTCACTGCATGAAGCAAAGAGGCAAATATACTCGAGCATTTCTAAGATTCAGAGCTGGGCAAAAAAGGTTTTGGCACTAGGTTCTGTACCTAGCTCTAGCTCAGGAATCAACCACTTCAACCACTTTTGGAATTTACTGCAGTATTTATATATTTATACATATATATATATATATCTCCTTCTCTTCCCTTTCATAGTAAGAGTATTGTGGACTGGGCACAGAACTCTCAGGGAGATCCTCTGTATTCTCCAACTCACTCTTCTTCACTGACTTTCCCATGCAGTCAGAACTGCGGTTTGTCTCTCCTTTTTTCTCCCTCCTTTTCTTTCCTTCTCAATTTGCTTCACAGCTCGTGAAAAGAAAGCAGAAAAATTCAGTGAGGATGCAGCTTTTGAAAAGGAAAGTAGGTTCGAGTAGGATTTGCCCGTTATTAAACTATCCAGAGGACCTAAATATTCCTAAACTCAAAAGGCCATTGCAGTTGTAGGGAAAAAACAAGAAAAAAGGTGCAGCTTGCACATCAAGCTATGAAAGCAACTGTTGAGGTTTTCTTTTCAATCTTGTCACCCGGAAGAGAAAATTATTCCCTTTATTTTGCCGAACAGACAGGAGGCAAACAGCACATGCTATTGCTGACTGAACTTCAAAATCAAAATTGACAAATCCTGGAGGAGGAAGCTACTATTATAAAGCCAAGCACGACTGATAATGCTACCTTGACTTCCTCAGCTTATGCCTGCTCTGCTGCTCAACAGCCCCTAAGGCCCAAATGACATTACTCCAGATTCTAAGACAAGCCAAGAAAGGGAATGATAATTTTGCCATAAAAAAAAAAAGAAAAGAAGAAGGAAAAAGAGGCTGATACAGAAGACCAGCCACCATTATGGCTTTTGTGCTGTGATAAGCAGAGGAAGGGGACTGTGTTAAAACTCAGAATGCTTCTTGAAAATAGCAACAGTGCTATTCATGACATTTAAATGAAGGAAGAAAGATGACAGAGTGTTAAGGTCAGGGCTGAAAAAATCCAGAAGTTAATATAACGGTGGTCCCTGATATTTTTCCCTTTTAAATTTGTGATTAAAATAATGATGATTATTATTGAAAGAAGTTGTCTTGCTCTCTGCATAGAAATAAAAATGATGCCATTAATTGCAAAGGGTGCTTTGTGGGCTTATTCTCCCTCTCTTTCTCTGTACACATATGTACAAATCCATATCCATCCACACATATATATATGAGGGCATGGGGTGTAAAGTAAAACAAAAGAATCGATTGATTACATCAGTGACCGTTTTAGAATGGAAAGATTGCTTCAAGAAATCTGAACATCTCAAGAAAAAGAAAAAGAATTGGTATGTCATAATTCATGCCTTTAATGTTTATCCTACATTGTCATGGAATGGTTTGATTTGGGGAAAAGCAAACACTTCCCCAAAGTTTAAGAGTAAGCTTGTACGAGCATCTTAAATTTCTTGTGTTCTACATGGGTTGGTTTCAGATTAAAAATGCAAGCTGGCCTTCTAACTGCAACTTGTGATACATCACTGTGAAATAGAAGCATGAAAAGTACAGCCATGCAAGTTAAGATTCGCATGTTTAGACTTCCTTTTGCTCTCAAGGGTTTGAATAACAGACCTGAAGCATTAATATTCTGTCTGTGAATGTGCAAAGTTTAGTTTTTTGCTGAATTCACAAAATTAACCCAGTAACTTTAAAGCAGACTCCAAGGCTGAAAGATTTCATATAGCTTCAAGTCCTTGTAGTGCTGTCAGTTTTCACTGGTAGAGGGAGTAATGCTCAGTTCACAGAAACTCAAATTGAACTTCTGGGTTTTTTTTTTATTTGTAAATTGAAAAGAGAAGCTAAAGCTTTAAAAAATGTGTTATTCAAACTCTCCAAATACAGCACTTGGAAAAGAAATGCTAAAGTTGACATAGAATCAAACTATTAGAGCAAAACAAAGCAGAAATCATCTGCCATTTCAAAGAAGGAGTTGACCCTAGGTGCAAAATTAAGTATCTACTTCAGGCCTATTGCCATCTCACTATTAATGCTGAGGTGAGTATCTCATATGCTTTGGCATAAGAAAAATGTATTTCCTAAGTCTTGCGAGACCTGTAACAAAGAGGACACCAAAGTGAAATCATACATTAACTGTATAATGGAGAAGAGGCCCATGGTACAGGCTGTAGCTAGGGAATGCAACTTTCATCGGTTTGTGTCTTTCCAGTGCAAAGCTCTCCAAACATCACCAAGCTGGTTGATGTGGATTTGTATTTCACCTTCCAAATTCAAGAGAACTTAGTAAGCACACAGTAATTTTATTGTTTAAAGGAATGGCTCATGTGCCTGTGTCTTTTACATAAAATTTAACTGAGGTACATTTATTTATTCTCTTTCCTAGGCTTATCATAATGAAATAGAGAACTATTTTATAATTAGAATGTCCCTTTTAGACTGTGTCTATTGTCTATTTGGATAAATGAAGAAATTATGAACAACATCCAAAAAATCCCCTCTGCCTTTAAAATAGTGAAAAAGAACTAGGACCTCATTTTTATGCAGATATTCCTGGCTTGCAAAAAGTAAAAAGATAAAGAAATGGATCTGTGACATGAAAATTGGTTGCTGTAATTGAATGGTGAGAAAGCTATTTTGAGTTCTTAGTTATCTCCAATCTCTACACTTTAAGTACTAGAACTTCATTTGGTAACAGAAAGTGTATTTTTGGACTTTTTTGTTTGCTTTTCCTGTTTGGGTTGAAGCTGTACAGATGGGTAACTACAGGTCTCTCTGGACTTTCTTTTTTTAGGTGTGCTTTGAAACAGGGAGCCAGAGGGTTTTTATGCTTTCTGGATTTGGGTAGCTTTAAGAGGAGACTGGCTGCTTTCCAATGTCAGCCTGGCTCAGTATTACTACTATCAAGTAGAAATTTGATGAATTCTAGAAATTGAAAGTATTAATAAGACAGCGGTTTGGATCTTGGAGTGTTGAACACATGTAGGGATGAAGAAGAAGAAAGTATACTGGAGTCCTTTCTACGATCCTTCTTTTGCTTGACTGTCAATTTTGGAACAGGAAAAAAAGACTGAAAGGTGAGAATGCAGATTTTTTTATGCCTGGAAAACAGGATATGTAATTTTTATACTTTTTTTTTCTGTGATTAGCATATGTGGGGTTACAGCTGTTATTCCTATTACCAATTTATTCACCTAGAAGTTAGGATGGAAAATACTGCGTATCACTGTTTACCATAGTTCTCTAGTTCTCTGTTCATGATATTTTATATACATTACTTTTGTTTTTTTTTAATTAATATTCATTTTGGCCATGATAATGTGTTACTATATTAAAAAGCAAAACCAGACTCGCAAAGGCAAATAAGAAGGCTCTCTTGATCATCATAATTAAATGAGTTAATTTCTTCCAGAATTCACTCAGACTGTCTCTGACGTTCACTAATACCTGATTGCCATCTTTATTTACTGCAAAAAAAAAAGTGCTCAATATTTCCTGTGAAGTAAACTTACTCATTCCCGCTAGGAAAATTATTGCTTGGCTATTCTCAAAGGAAATCATCTTTCCAACAGCCAGCCCCACAATCTACAGAAGCTTATTAGTCCTCATAAAAAGTCATTAACATTTATAGATAAATTCTAAAGAAAGAAACTAACATGCACATATAGAACAAGAAAAAGAATGAATCCTTGTATCCTTACATAAAAATCCTTTTCATGCCAATGGGAGTTTGCAGAAGAGAAGAAGAATATCCAACAAACGAGTGACACAGACTAAACTGTTCAGAAAAGTACATGATTTCAGTAGGACTGAGAGATTAATTTCTTCCTTGGGTTATAACCAATTTTGTAAAACAGGAGGCATTATTTATTGCCAGATTCTCAAAGATATATACACACCAATTCCCAAATCAATATGCATGCTTCTAAATCAAAGGCAAGCAGGCTCCACTGAACCCGGTACCACCTTGACCCCATCTCAGGGACTGCTTTCCCAGATGGCCAGGCTGTGGCTGACTGCAGCCACTGCCCCCAGCCCAGCATGGCTCTCCTTGCCTGTGGCTTTGGGACAAGTCTGGTCGGGCGGGGAGGGCACTGTCCTACCCCATGGCCCTCGAGATCTCACCAGGCCAGCCCCAGACAGGTTGCTCCCTGGAAGGTGGGTCTGAAGGAGAGCTCTAGTGTCAGGCCCTTCTCACACAGGTTCAGACCTGAACGAAAGCCAGTACTTACACTATACTGAACAGGATTTGCCATTATCTGTGCTGACAGTCAGGGCCACAGTTCACAACACAACATGGCTAGCAACATTTTGATTTGGAAGGAAGCCCAGCAGAGCTAAGACCAATGTAATAGCAGTCAATAGCGCTAAGCATGGCAGAGAGGTCTATCTGAAGAATCATGCATGTGATTGACTCCCTTGTCTAAGTACAGAAGAAAGTAGTTCAGCAAAACAACAAGTTTTGCTTCAGTATTGTGCTCTAGCCTGCCAGGGCTGTAGGATACCAGTAAATGATGGCCAGTCCTGGTGGCTGCCTCAATAGCTTCTAACCATAAAATACAATAAGAAAACTAAGGCAGCAGTGAGGAAAAAAACCCCACACTGAGGCACTTGCCTTCCCAAGGAATGAATTGAAAATAAAGAAAGGAAAGAGTTATATTCCAGTTTATATTTTCAGTCAAGTGTTTTGTTTATCTTGAATAAACCCTTTTTCTGCTAGATTTGAGTGCCCAGGGAAGTGCAGTCATACAATGTGGGAAACTGAAGTCTTTTATATACGCACCCTGGGATACAAAATTATCACTGGGTGGGTGAAAGGCTGCAACACGAGCCCATTAAGGAGAAGATTATAAATCCAAAATCAAAGAGACTCTTTCATGGTCCTGTATGTGTTTCATATTACTTTTTCATAGTTATTAGTGCTTTAAAAAGATGAGAGCAAGTTTAATACCATTTTTTTCTGGCATATGGCTACCAGCAGAGCAGTTATTTTTAAATTAACCCTAATGTCTGTGCCAGCTTTTTTTCAGTGCTGACATGCTCTGATACCTATGCTATGTCACTACTGGGACTCTAAAAGAACTGTCGTGGTTTAAGCCCACCTGGTAACTCAGAACCATGCAGCTGATCACTCGCTCCCTGCCTTCTTTACCTCCGACTCCTGGAGGAATGGGGAGGAGAATGGAAAGAATGTAACTCCCATGGGTTGAGATAAGAACAGTCCAGTAACTAAGGTATAACACAAAACCACTACTGCCACTGCCAATAATAATAATGATAAGGGGAAAAACAAGGGGAGAGAATACAATTGCTCACCACCTGCAGACCGATACCCAGCCCGACCCTAGCAGCGATCTGGGCCTTCTGGGTAAGTCCCCCCAGTTTCTGTCCTGGGCATGACGTTCTGTGGTATGGAACACCCCTTTGGCTAGTTTGAGTCAGGTGTCCTGTCTCCGCTTCCTTCCCATGCTCCTCTTCACCAGCAGAGCATGAGACTGAAAAGTTCTTGATTGGGGTAAACATTACTGAGCAACAACTAAAAACATCGGCATGCTATCAGCACTGTTCTCAGGCTAAAGTCAAAAACACAGCACTGCACCAGGTACTAAGAAGGAGAAAAATGACTGCTACTGCTGAACCCAGGATGGGTGGTGAGGCTGCCCGCTACACCCAATTAATGTCTAATTCTGGACCAGGAGGGGGCTGCGCTATGGATAAGTATGCATAGGGAATGGAGTGATGCCAACAAAATTCACTGTACCTGGAACATAAACAGATTCAAAACCGGCACTTTAAGTAATCTTCAGAGAATTGATTCCTTCCTGGTACAATTTAGATGCTATATAACAAATTGTATTCTTTTGTGGTTCAAGGCAGCTTGAAACTCTATGTTTTAGTTATATAACATATTTGAACTCTGCTATGCATGGGATTAAATTTACTTGAAGCCTGTGGCTAATGTAAACCATCACCTTTTAGAAATGACAAGTGACATCCTAATCTATAGACAGTTAATCACCATTTTGCAAAATACAAATTGCCCTTCTCAAGTTGCTTTTATTTATTTTTTTTTCTCCTTTTCTACTCAGCATATCAATGCTTACTACAATAATTCATTTGTAGGAGCACTAGGTATTGCTTTAGGTGAACAACTCAATTCACCTAGGCTCTGACTTAGAGTAGGCCATCCATGACAACACTAATAAATTATGCATGAAATTGATTTAATCTACCTTTGAGATATAATTTGTCCTGCAAAAAGTTGAGTGTGCAGTTCACTCATGTTTTTATTTCATTTTCTATTCTGTGGCCTGCTTTGCTTTATATTTATTACAATCATTTCAGTTTTCTAATCAGAAAAAAACTTCACCGCATTCTCTTCTGAGATTGTTTTTCTGTTCACCTTGATTTTTACTGAGGACAACACAAATATCTTAACTTAGATGTCCTTTATGATCCTTTCCACCTCAGCCACTCTCAGCCCTGAATCTATTTACAATATTGCTCCATTCATAGAATGTACCCAGTAAGGCACTCTGTTAGTCTCAAATAAAATTCATCATTGTCAACAAGATCCCTATCGACTTTAGTTGCCACTAGTTCTGGACTTCTCTGCCTTTGTAAATTTGGTAAAGAACTAAGTCCTCACCCAAATAACATGAGATTCTACATTATCATGTGGAAAGAACACTGCATTTTCAGGATTCATATGTTCCAATAACACGGACTGATAAAACATGAAACTTGTGTTTCCCTCCTTGACAATGGTTCTCGTGCTCCAACACAAACCAAATGCATTCTGCCCACTGTAATAATTCATATATTTAATTCTTAGATACGCGAATCACATATTTAAGAATTATCATCAAAATCCACATTCATCACATGAATGTTATAAATTTTGCTCACATCAAAAAAAGCATTCTGCACACCAAAATCAAAACAACATCATGACACTGAACAAAAGTGGAGAATTTACACAGAATCCACCCCTTGTACCTTCATCACAATTATTACCATGTAAAATCCCCACAATCGTTCCGCTCCTCGCTCTTTAGCTGTATTCAGTCTACGGTTTGCTTGCTACCTCTCCCAGTTACTATTCTTATCTTGAATTCCTCATGCCCCATGTTAGGTGCAAGGACTGTGGTAGGTTGACCTTGGCTGGATGCACGGTGTCTACCAAGCTGCTTTATTACTCCCTTCCTCATCAGGACAGAATAGGAGAAAATAAGATGGGGAAAATACCTCGTGGCTCAAGAAAAAGGCAGTTGAATAAAACAAAAGCAAAGGCCATGTGCAGAAAGAGTAAAGGGAAACAGAATATTTATTCTCTACTTTGTAGGTAGATCACTTCGTCCAGCCACTTCCTAAGAAATGAGGTTTCAGTACATGTAGCAGTTGCTCCAGAAGACAAACATCATAATAATAAATGCCAATCAACCCCCCCTTCCTTTCCCTGAGCTTTTACTGCTGAACATGTCATGTTATGGAATATTCCTTTGGTCAGTTGGGATCAGCTATCCTTGCTAGGTCTCCTCCCAAGGTCTTTCCCACCTCCAGCCTACTGGTAAAGGACAAATGTTGGAGAGACGGCCTTCATGCAGTACGAGCACTGCTCAGCAGCAGCCAAACCACTGGTGTGTTCTCTGCACCTTTGTAGGTACCAATGCAAAGCACAGCACTATGAGGACAGCTATAGCAAACTTATCTCTATCTCATCCAGACCCAATGCAACAAATATGCTTTCTCCTCTGAAATATCTGGTTGACATGGTTGGCTTCAGTGCTTTCAGTGTGAGGCAGAAAGCTTCACTAAGCTTTCATAAAGCTGCTAGCAGAGCTGAGTTGGAAAATTCTGCTTGCTTACTTGTTTTGGCACCTGTCTGCGGCTGAAACATGGAACATGATAAATCCCTGAATCACTAACAGAAAGAAAAAAAAAAGAAAAGAAAAATAGAAAATAGAAGGGGAAAGTGAGGAGGTAGAATGACTCCTAGAGCAAGGGACTTCAGAAAGCATGCATTGAATATTATCTGATCTATATTTGCAAATGATTCTCATAAGTTCATCCATGTGGCAAATTCTGATGTACTGACTTTAAAGTTCCCCATGAATGCATTTTTTAATCTAAAGTGAAATCTCACATGAAAAAAAGCTCTTTTATTTAGACTGTGAGAAAGTTTCTCTTTGTTCTAAAATAAAATTCTTAGCCTTTCCTTATTCTCTTTACCTCCCAACCTCAAGAAATATTAATTTCTAAAAGGCAGCTCAGGAGCCTCTACGAAGCTTTCTGGCAGTGTTTCGACAATGTGACAGTGTTCAGATGTTGCAACGGTCTGCACTGTATTTCAATAAATGAATATGTTACTTACTATACACGAAAGGGAGGGTTCTTATTCAAGCTGTAATGTCACCATTTTCTGCTGACATAACTAAATAAATCTTACAGTAGTTGTCTATTTTTC